GCTTTCAGGAGACAGTTCTTTGAACTGAAAGCTTAATCTCTCTCCCCCTCTCTTTTAGTGCTTTGAAATTTTGTTTAGCTGTGCTGATTACACAAAGGGAACCCTTTTTTCTCCAGTAGGAAAGAATAAAAAAGAATGTTCTGCTCCTTTTAAAGTAGGGGTGACCTTCCAAAGCAGTGCTCAAATGGAAGGAAAGATCAGGGCAATGCTACATGACATATAAAGTTCACGGGTAAAAGCTGTATTGTTTGAAGAGGCCTTCAGAAACATCTTACCCCTCTGACATCCTTGTGGACTTATGAACTGGATATTGATTTCAATTGGCCATCTAGGTCTTTTTGATATTCTGGGCTATTAATGTTTTTTCAGGATCTCATTATTTTTGTCCTTGTGGGCTGGGGTGGGTAGTTGTGTTTTTAACTGATGTTAGCCACCCAGAGTAGTGCTCAGTCAATCAATCAACCAACCAATCAAAATGTATTTGAATCAGTAAGTAATACAATGGTAAAAATCTACATTGGTTGGAGCACTTACCAATGGGCATATACGCTGTTTAGTGCATTTTAAAATTTATTTCAAATCTATTTTTATACATTTTCTTAAATCTTAAAACATAATTTTAAAATGTATTTTATGGAGCATTGCTTTGGTGGGCCAAAAAATAAACTAATCACCTGATTCTAATAAAATAAAGGATTATATTTTAAAACTACAGCCTTTAGCATCCAGCTCTCATGGGTGGATCTCAGGGCTGTGGCGAAACAAACACAGAGAGAACAGAACTAGGACCTGCATCTCTGATTTCTGCCCATCACTGACGTGGAGACATAAGATGGATCCCATCACCTCAAGTGTTTAAAAGGCCGCCATCTTGTAAGAAGCTGAAGCTATTCAGTACCTTGTTCTCCCTCAGATCTACTTGTAATGTCAACAACTGTACAGAAAAGGAACTACGAAGGGCAAAAGGAACAAATGTTATATTTATTTCAATATTTGTACCATGCTCTGTAGCTCTGGGCAGATTCTCAAGCCCCCATTTTGGAATGTATTTAAACAAAGAACTTAGGCCACATCCAACATGGATTTTTCTTTTCCTCCGGCTCTGTAATGCCCAGCCTGACCAAGACTCATAAAGAGTTGAAGGTTAGCCTCTGTAGGTTAGATTTCAGTGATCTAATAATGGTATCACCCAACCTTGTCTACGAATTAATGTACAAAGTACATGGTGGCTTTCCCCACCCCCACCAAAAGTTTTAATAATTACTTATGTTAATTGGCTACTTGAATTAATTGACTTAATTGGTTCCAGGACATTTTTGTTGATAGAATTACTTTTTTGAATAGCAGGTATGAATAAGGCAATTGCCACTGTTAGTATTTTTTGCATTTAATTTTATTTCAGTATTGCTGTCACTACCTACAGTGCTACCACCAACGGCCTGTCTGTATGTACAACAAAATGATATATGTTCTACAAAAGCTCGAGCTATTTATTATAAATGTGTATACTTCTGTTGCAACATACTGATACCTTTGGAAATCTTAAGTTTAGTGGTTTTGACAATTTTTCACATACAGGAAAATTACTGGGATGTTGTAATTATCCAGAGCTACAGGCAATGTATTGTACGGCTGTTACAAAACCAGCACACAATTGTATATTCTGCAGCATAATCCTCCATGTGCTGACTGAGAATGAAGCTACTCTGAAGTACAGTGGATATTGTAGTGAGGACTGAGTGCAGTGTGACTGCCCAGCTGAATGCATGCTTCACTCACATGTGTTATTGAGTTCTGCTGTGGCCAGAGGTCCATTCCTTCAGCGAATGTCTGAGGACAGCAGCTGAAGACAGCAGAGTAGGCTCAAGAACAAAACATTATTATCATGTAAAATAGGTGCACCCACAGAGTACAGAATCTGTGACACAGATAGAAAACCTTTTATACCTTTTCTAAACAACAGCATTGTTGTTATGAGTCATCAGGTTTTCCCTCACTTAAGGTGACCCTGTTAATGAACCATGTCTTAAATGTCCTGTCCTCAACAGCTCTGCTCAGCTCTTGCAAACTCAAGTCTGTGGCTTCCTTTAGAGAGTCAATTTACCGTATTTTTCGCACCATAAGACGCACTTTTTCCCCACAAAACAGGGGGGTGGAAAGTCTGTGCGTCTTATGGAGCGAAGAAAACAGATTATATTTTCCTGTTTTCTTCTCCGAAAAAATTGGTGCGTCTTATGGAAAGGTGCGTCTTATGGAGCGAAAAATACGGGTATCTTTTATTTGGTCTTCCTCTTTTCCCAACATTATTGTATTTTCCAGAGACTCTTGCCTTCTCATGGCCAAAGTAGGTTTCAACATTTTGCTTCTAGAGAGAGTTCAGGCTTGATTTGATGTAGGACCCACTTGTTTCTCTTTCTGGCTGTCCATGGTACCTGCAGATCTCAGTAGTACAAAACTAATCTCTCCTTCAGCACCACATTTCAAACAAATCAATTTTTTCCTGCCACCTTTTTTAAAATTGTCCAGCTTTCATACCCGTACACGATGATTGAAATACAAGAGCATGGGTAATCTTGGTCTTTGTCTCCACTGACACATCCTTATACTTGATTATTTTTCTAGATTTCTCATTGCTGCCCTTCCAAATCTCTGTCTTCTGATTTCTTGGCTACAGTCCCCATTTGGATTGATGATTGAAGTAAGGTATTTAAAAAAAACTCTAACTGTTAAAGTTGTGTAGTTCTTCTGTACTTACGATTTTGGTCTTCTTAATGTTCAACCGCAGTCCAGCTTTGGCACTTTCTTTTTTCACTTTGAACTAAACAACCATGCACCAAATCTCAGCATAGCGCTTAACCAATAGTAAAGAAATTGAATAGCTTACATGTACCAATATGTTGCTCAGACTACTTTCTCACAAACAGAATGCAGTTTCCTTTGAACTACACCGAGCTATTGCCGGCAGAAGCATACAGGGACGTTCTATTAAGAACAAGGCATTCGACAGTTCTCCCTCTATGACAATACAGGTGCAAGAACGCATCAGATTTGAAGCTTATCCCACATAAACCACTTCCTCTTGAAAACAACACTAACATTCAGTGAGAAAAGGATTAGTATGTGACCTTTAATTTAAGCAGATGCACAGAGAGTTTCCAGGCAGGTCTGCCTTTTCTGCTTATTAAGCCAACAGCTAATAAGAACAGATATGCTGGGCATTATTTGGGATCCTTTCCCCACAAGTTCAGGGGCCTTACAAACAAAACATGTGTGTATAATAGTGCTAACTCTATCATGTGTATTTCTGTGGTTGGTCTAATGTTAAGTTTCTTTGGTTTTATTTTATCCTTTTGATTTGTTAAAAAGCGTTCTGGAAATTCCGGGAATGTTGTAAGAAAGAGCTCTAGAAATGTTGCAGGGGCATAAACAAGTGGGCCACAGCATCCACGCGTGGACCAGCCCAGGCGGGTACTGTATGTGAAAGAAGAAGAAGGCGGGCTCCGGGGACGCGGCGCCCACACGGGGCTGGCCCTCCTCCTCCTCCAGGTGTTCTGTCGCCCTCCTGCAGGGGCTGCTGCTGCTGCTCTCCGCGCCCCTCGCCTTTCTCGCTCTGCCGGGGACCAGCGGGACGCTTCCTGGAGTGGCCCGTGAAGTCCCTGCTCTCTCTCTCTCTCACACACACACACACATACACACCCCCGCCCCGAGTGTCACCTCCTCCAGCGGGCATCGCGCTTTCTCTTCCCGCCCCCAGGTGTGCGGCGGCTCCGTTCCGGCTGTCCTCCAGCCGCCCCAAAAGCGAAAGCGTCACGGGCGGCGGGAGAGTGTCAAGGCGGAAGCCTGCGAGAGGAGAGCGGGCAGAGAGTAACCCGGGCAGACGGACAGCAGGGCAGCTCGGGCGCGGAGCGGAGCGGAGCGACATGGCGGGGGAGGTCATCATCCGCTTCTTCCGAAACAGCCTGCGGAGGCGATCGTCCAGGAGAGGTGAGCGGTATCGCGGGGCAAACTCCTCCTCCTCCTCCTCCAAAAACAACCCTCTTGTCAGCCAGCCTGGCGCCAGCCTGGTTCTTCACAAAACTTTTGGCAGTCGACGGTTGCATAGCTGCTGCCCTAGAGAGGAGACGCGCTTGCGCCCCCCCCTTTCCCCAGTTGTGGGTTTCTTTTTGTTTTGGCGCGGACAGGCGGGTGCAATGGAGGATCGGGCCCATTCCTATTGCGAGCGTGAACTTTAGGAAAACTTCCAGTAATCGGCCGAGCGAGGAACGCCCCGGGATCGGATCAGCCAGTCCAATTCCCGGCTGGTTGGACGGCCCCCCGTCGTCGCTGCGCCCTCCCCTTTCGGCAAGTTGAGCAAAATTCGGGCGTCGGGAAGTCCCCTCTTTGCGGCCGTTGTGACGCCTCAGGGACCCCGTGTTGAATAGTGGAAAACGTGAGACGACAGTGAAAAGGACAGTGGCCACTTCGGGAGAACCATAGCAAAACAACAGGAGTGGAGATGAATGTTGCTTATTTTGTTTTAGAGAGGGGGGGTGAAATCAGAAGCGTAATCAGAACAATTTCTGGGAAAGCACCCTAGCCGATCAGAGGGTATTAGGCAAGAGAGTTTACAGTGCAATCCTGTATAGGCATACTCAGAAGTAAGCCGTATTGAAATAATTCCACTGACTCTCGCGATTGGATAGTAGAGTACGAGGCTGCTGGTGATGTTTTCACACCATTTAGGTGTGTGCTTATTGGAAGTCTGGATCTGATCAGTCGTAATACAGTAATTGTTTAAAAGTAAATGATAGGTGTTTGCATTATTTATTTCTGAGAACGAGGATATGACCTGTGTGTGTATTTGAGACTGCTAGTGGTTTTAAAAGGCAACAATTTCTTACTGATCATTTAGACTTGCAGGTGAGATACCTTGATTACACTTCACTTTAGTTACTGTGATGTGGAACAAGGGAAGTAGTTATTCTGCTGTTTCCTGATAACACACAGGTCTATATACCTGTACATACATGGTGGTCAAGTACAATATAAAGAAAGCCAACAACAAGCAGGTTAAAATCTCAAGGTGCTGTTATGGAAGTAGCTTTCCCTTCTGTATGGTGTACTCGTGAGTTGGCAGCTTCCCCTGAATGCTACACCTTGCACAGTCCATTTTACTGGTTTTCTCTGACTCATTTCAGTTTCATCACCTTAAATGTAATGTACAGATTTGGGGTGAGCGCATATATACTACTGGGCTGCATATTGGGGAGTCCAAATTGAGTGATTGGCCTGTAAACCTGTTTTTGTCCCATGCCATCTTGGAAACCCTTCTCAGCTATGGAGGATGCAGTAGCTTTGTGTTGCCAGGGAAGCAGAGGGTGGGTTAATACAGTAATCCTATGCCACCTTCCAATGCTCAGACCAGGATATGAAAGCCCCAGATGCTGAGCCTTCGGCAGCCGTATGGTGTTGATTTGATGAAACAGCCACTTCCATTGATAGACTGGTTTAAAGCAATAACTCCATTCAGCAACAGCTGCTTCCCGATAGATCATATAGAGCCACTTGCCCAAAGAAAACATGGAAGGGGTTTTCCTCAGACACACCTTGTGCTGAGAAGCCTACCCCCACCCTTTTTATGCTTCTGAATGTAGCTTTAGGGGCAGGCTACTTTCCATCCCCTCCCATCATAAATAGAAATAAATCATTAATCAAACTCAAATTGGAAGGGTATTTACATAAAGCAAAATGGGTGTTGGTCTCTGCAGGTGGATTGGTTCTGCTTACTTAGGCCTATCTTATTTTCCAAGGAATAGAATGGACCACAGAAATAAATCATTTCTGAATCTGGATTGCTAATATTTGGTGAATATTTGCTATGTACAGTAGACGTTTTGAGTTCTGCTCCCAGTGTCCCTGACTGTTGGCTATATTGTCTGAGGCTTTGAGGAACAGACATTCAAAACATCTGGAAGGCCAAAGGCTTTTATGCAGTTACTAAAGTCCAGGAACATTGACCCTCTTTTTTTTAAACTTAGATATCTTTACAATGGCTTAAACTTAGAACCTAAACTCTAAATTTGTTTCTGTAGGACAAAATAATTTATATTAACACCCTAGTACTGCCTGTTAGGTGTTTTAAGGGAGCAATCTGTCATAGCAAGTAGAAGGACTTTTAGTGTGAAATAAAAGGCCTGCCTGATTAATTATTCCCCTTTTCCTGTTACCTGTATGTTCTTTGAATGTGTTGCTCCTAGACTCCCACCAGGCAGGTGTGAAAAGCTGCTTAAGCAGCAGCAGAAATTAGATTATCATATCTAAAGCCATTTGCTGACTGGCAGAAGTGTTGTAATAAATGTTCTACACTGGCTGTTTTCTCTGTTTCCTTTCTGGGCGCAACAAAGTGAATTTACTTCCTGGGTGGTGTGTTAATTCTTCGTTCCTGCACCTGACTCGTCTGACGCAACTGGTTGTTCTTTTCTTTCATGGCAGAGCCTTAGCAACGTTTGTGCTGTGGTTAAAAAACAGAATGAAGAAATTCTGCTCAACAGCTAAATGCACTGCATAGCATGCCAGAGGCATTCAGAACAAATGTGTAGGTCACCTGACTTTGTCTTTTATGTCTGCACCCGGGATGGGCAGAATGCAATTCTGGATTCATTTGGCCAGGAGCACTCTGTGTTTTTAGGGTTTTTTACTCCCAGTTTCTTAACAGTAGTGCCAAGGGAGTGGGGAAAAGCCCCACTCTACCCCATGGTAGATTGCTGAAAGAGAAGCTAACGTTTTCATGAGTTTACCAAAAGACTGAAGGTTATGTGCTCATTAGGGTAACAAGAGGGATGGGGTATTTGCTGCCCTCCTGATGGTGTTGAGATGTCCTTAATCACTGTCTGACTTGGCTAGGGCTAGTGTGATTTACTGGTGAAAAACTATTAAGAGACCCCAGTTGCCTACCCAGAGAGGCACTGCGTGTGCTTGGAAGAGTTCGGTTATTTATTTGACAAGGCTGTGAACATTGTTTAACTGACTGAATAAGCTCACTGTGGAATGAACTGGACACAGTAAAGCTTTGAAGGGATTTGCAGCCCAGGCCCAGAAAAAATGAGCTTGTGGAAGACCGTGAGACTGACAGCCTAGAAAGTATGCCTAGACTTTCAGCCTAAAGCGGAATCTTTGGCTAGATAATCACGCCTTAGATAAATAGAAGTGTCATTCTGTGTTGAGAGCAGGAGAGAGAAGATGCAAATATTTCTTGTTCAGTGTGTTAAGGTCAAGACAACATCTGTTCTAAAGGAAGCACTTTATAGTTGCCTTTGCTTGGTAAACTTCTCGTCCCTTTGTATTTGTGTCCTGGAAATAGTAGTATTTTCCCATCTGTATACTAGAGAGAATGTTACTATAAGCCTGAAGTATCTATCAGCACTGAGGCTGTTCGCAGTGCCATTGCATGTTTTGTCCTTGCTGTTTTCTAACCAGTCTAGGAGACATCCTCAGATCAGTGATTCATGAAGGACTATAATTCCCTTTACACAGTCCAACAGTAGCTTAATTTACCGGATGTGAAAGTGAAATATATCTTCATTGGTTTGAACTGTGCTTTACTATCAAAAGTTCAGAAGCGCTGTTCCAAATAAACAAGGAAAATTTGCATAACACTACAGCATGAATAAGAAATAGTTTAGAGTAAGAATAAATTAACAGTGATGGCAATCATCTTCACTATTTTCTAAATGTTCGGAACAATTTACACAATTAGTTCAGCAATCTTTGCAACAACCTTGTTAGATGGGTCAGTATTTGTAGTCCTATGTCACTGCTGGGTGAAAGACAGAGGTTGGAGAAAAGTAAGTTTCCTAATTCCTCCCAAGGAGCTTGAAGTGGAGCTGAGATTTGGACAAGGCAGTGGCTTTAGTTTCTTAAATATTGTGCTGCAATTTCTGTCAGAGGTGTACCAGGGGATTATGAACCCAAATCAACAGTCATTGAAATTTATCCAGTATGTATTAGAACTATGATTCCCAACCTTGGGTCAACCCAGGTGTTCTTGGACTGCAACTCCCAGAAACCGAACCAGTGCAGCTTCTAAGAGTTGCAGTCCCAAAACACCAGTGTTACCTAAGGTTGAGAACTATTACGTTAGAAGATTGAAATCCTTCAGCTCCAACTCCAATATTTTTGTTGAAATTCATACATATTACTTTTTTATGTAAAAAGTATTTAGTATGCTTTGGATGGTTTAGATATATCGAGATGATCTTCAAAATTTAGGTAATAATGTAAATACGTCCTGAATATGAAATATTTATAATGTATGATTCAACGCAGATTATCCAGAAAACACAAGCAGTAAGACTGAGATTAGGAGAACATTGTTTGGATCATCAAAATCTTCTTCTGTGAAACTTTACACAAAGAAAGACTGCATGCAGAAAAACCAGAACATGTGGCATGACTCCCCCATGTCCTCCACAAGTGCATGCGGCTGCTGGTCACACCCCTCTGGCTGCCATAAATATTGTCTTAATCCTCATGTACCATGATTGAAAAACAAAACAAAACTAGAATTGAATGAGTTATGGGATACTTTCTGACTTCAATAAAAATTCCAAATTATTGTTGGTTGGTATTGTGGTTAGGGTCAGTCTTCAGGTTTTATGTGCAGTTCCACGTCCTTCTGAATGGGGATAACTTACTGAAAAGTAGAGGCTTCTTCTTCTTCTCTACATGTTGCATTTCACCAAAACCAGCAAGTGACTGTTTTTCTCCCATCACATTAAATTAGCCGGAAGAAGAAGTAATCCAGTGGCAAAAAGCAATCAAAAGCCATGTCCCCACTGTTGCTGGTTTTTCAGGGTGGCGGGGTTATGTAAAATTGAAAATGTTATGTGAAATCAGGGGACATTTGATTATAGTTCTTCAGGTGACAGTGTCACAGAAAATTAAACATCCAGATCTGTATGGGTTCTGCAGTAAAATACTGTATGATGTTCTGCCCTGCTGCGTGGCAATTCATGAAAATGAAAGAGAGAGGCCTGGGTGAATTACATATGCATCTCTAGAGGGCCCTTTCTCAAGAGTGTCAGTTGGGCAGCTGCTGGAGTTGTGGTCAATGGGCACATCAGAGACTGGCTCCTGTGTGTGATGGGCAGCGGAAATGGCTGCAGATGTTCAATAATACTTAATAAACAGGTGAAAACAGGTTATTGTGGTTTTGGCTCTGTTTTCCATCTATGATATCTACTACCTCCATGAAACAAAAATATAATGATTTACTGTAACTGTAAAACAAAACAACACACACACACTTCAAATTTCTAGGTAAAATACTATGGGTTTTCTCCTGAAACAAAATGTGCACTAATTGTGGGGTATTGTTTTAATGCAGTATTGTACCGAGACACAATCTGCCTCCCTCTGCATTAGAAATTCTTCCCTCTTTTTGCTTCTGAAAGCCTTGGGGCTGCCTGATTTTCATTCCTGTTTTCAAGTTGAGGGGAATGGTTTGTAAAGGCATGGCCATCTGAAGCATTTAAGAGCAATGAATGAGTGTTTAAGCCATTTGCAGAGCACTTGGAACACCGGGGTAGATCACATGATTTGTGTTTACAAAAGATCTCATTTTCAATCCCTTCCAGGTAGGTCTGGAAAAACTCCAGTGTGCAGTACTGGGCTAGATGGATTCTACTCTAATTCAAGTTAAGGCAGCTTCATCTGTTCCTGAGTTACTCTTTTCTCCTCAGATCCTGCTATGAGGTCTACTTTGTTCCATGAATAAGCCTTTTATTTTGCATTACAGAAGAACACCAGCATGACCTTCCTGCAGAAAGCAGACCAGCAGCTAGAGAGAGAAACAGCTTCCCTAATTCTGCTGGACACCTGTTCTTTGAGTATTTAGTTGTGGTTTCACTTAAAAAGAACGCTAATGGAGATTATGAGCCCAAGATTACCTATCAATTTCCAAAGGTAAGAAATTTAGAATGATTAGGATTATGGAACATGTCTGTAGTTATACTTTTACAGATGCTCTGCTTTCTAAAATGTAGGTATATTAGCTGAGGTGTTTCTGGGGGCAGAAGTGTGGGTGCAGGCTCTGCTCTGAGTTATTCATGTTTGTGTTGACATATGCAAAAAGCTGGAATTAATATATCATTAATATTCAATTGCAGACCCACAGGTTTGTGGCACAAGAAGTATGACATCTGACATGGGCTGAAATTATTTCAGAACAGAGTGGTGGGTAGTCTGTGTGTGAGAGAGATCACTTTTGCTGTTGGAATTAGCTCTGGTGAGCCCAGTTATCTGAAAATTAAAAACAAAACATCCTGAAAAATAAAAGCAGAAGCAATATAAACAGCAGAATTGTTATTGACTCAGAGTTTATTTCTCTTTAATTATCCTTGCCTGCCTTCCACTCCACTGAATTTCAGCTGAAATGTTGACTTGGATAGTTGAATTTTGGTAGTGTTTCCCCTGAATTTCAATAGCATTTCCTCTGCATTGAGATGCAACCTGTGAAACTTAATTGGACTTGATTTTTATTATTTATTTATGTTATTTATGTGCCACTTTTCTCCCCACAGGGGACCCAAAGCGGCTCATAAACAATTAAAATTATGTGGTATTCACAGTTAAAAACACTATAGGAAACTATAAAAAAAAACCAGTTAAACATCCATCAATATTAAAGCCACTATTAAAAACATTTTTTAAAAAAATTTAATCTCTAACTTCAAGAAATACAGCATTCCTAGAAAAAAAGCTCACTTATGAGAGCAAAGATATTTGCCTTGCAGTGGAACAACACACTTCATGAGGCAGGACATTCCAAAAGGCCTGTTTCTTTTTCCTCACCAAAGGAGTTTGGGAAGGTGGTGGAACTGAGAGAATGGCCCTCATGGAAGCTCTGAAAAACTGAAAAGGCTCATATGGGGTGACACAATCCAAGACCTAAGTCAGAAGGCTTTATAGGCCATAACTAGCTCTTTGAATTAGACCTGGAAACAGTGAGTGAAGCTGTTGTAATAAGGGAGTTATATGCTCCCAGTAAGCAGTGCTAGTCAGCAGTCTGGCTGTGGTATTTTCAACCAGCTGATGTTTCTGAACCTCTTCAAAGGCAGCTCCACATAGAGTTTGCACTATAGTAATGTAGTTGGGAAGTAACTAACACATGTCTCATAACTGGCCAGATTGGACATCTTAAGGAATGGGCACAGCTGGCACACTAGCTGTAATTGTTGTACTCCTGGCCGTTGCTGAGACCTGTGCATCTAGACATGGGACCGCACCTGAAAAGTGAGCCTGATTTTTCAAAGGCAGTGTAATCCTATCCATTACATTCTGAATATCTATCCCTGACCTATCTTTTGAATGACCAGGAGCATCTCTGTCTTGTTTAGATTAAGTTTTAGTATGTTTTCCCTCTTTCAGTCCATTACTGCCTATATACTGTACTGCTAGAGGCTCAGAACAGCTTTGTTGGAATCAAATGGAAAGGAGATATAAAGTTGGATGTCATCATCATATTGATGTCAGCAAACCCCTAAACTCCAGACAACTTCCCCCATCAGTTTCATATACATGTTGGAAAAACATGGGCGACAAGGCTGAACCCTGGAGGATACCAATAATGGCCATGGTGTCAAACAGGAATCTTCCAATGCCACCTTCAGAGTTCTGCCATCCAGGGAGGACCAGAATCACTGTAAAAACAGTACCTCCAAGACCATCCAGGAAGATGTCCCAGAAGAAGTCCATGGTTGATGGTATTGAAAATCACTGAGAGGCCCAGCAGAACCAACCGGGATCTGTCCAGTTCCTGGCATAAGTCATCTTGATGCACCCTTTTAATACCTGAACATTCACCCCAAGTGAGCATGAGGCCTGTACAGAAGCTCCCCCTGTATACCATATCACTCGTCATTTAGTTGTTCAGTCGTGTCCAACTCTTCGTGACCCCATGGACCAGAGCACGCCAGGCCCTCCTATCTTCCACTGCCTCCCAGAGTTGGATCAAATTCATGTTGATTGCTTCCATGACACTGTCCAACCATCTCATCCTCTGTCACCCCCGTCCTCT